ATATTCATTATGCCAACTGTGTTACACAAACTTCACCACAGCACTTTGAAAAAAAAAGGGGGACTTAACAGGACACCAACAACCCAACAGAAAGACAGTAGAACAAGTTAATTTAGTTAAACTTTATCATGCTCAAGCGCACTAGCTGAAACAATCCTGCAGCTCATTAGTAACCATACTCAAGTCTTACCTCAAGTGCATAAAGAGCCACATGTGGGTTTTTGTCATTAAGCTTCTTCTTAATGGCCCCAATGGCATATTTAGCCCTGCAAGGACAAAACATGTTTCTTAACTGAAAGTCTAGGCAACAATAATTTATCATTGAAAAAGAAAATGTGAAGAACTATTCCCAACTTGAACAGGCCGCGAAGTGATTAGTAAAGAGAAGAGTGCAGAATCACTCACTGTGCGTCTCCCTGTCGAATGAGATCACAGATCTGCAGAATGGATTCCCAGTCAGTCTCCAGGAGCAGCTGACTGGTGGCTTTATCTGCAATAAGTATAGATGGTTAAAGCGTCAAACATACTGTATGTTGTGTAATGACTGTCTAATATCTCTCAAACATTATCTCCTCACAAACCAACAATAACAGGCTCCTTCTAACCTTATTACAATGCTAGACATATATTTACTTGCTTTAACAAAGCTATGATGAACTCATGTCTACGCTCAGTTGACAGCTTAGTAGGTTAAACTGACAGTCAAACAGTCCTGTATTAAATCTCAACTTCATGTAGCTTAAACATACGTTTTGTTTAAACTTTTTCAGTTGAATGTTTAACGGATCATTTTGATCAATAATACATTTAAATTAATAATAACTAACTAATGACATTAATACAGGATTCCCAAATCCTTCCAGTATCAAAACATTTCCTTACAACAATTGATATAATCTATATACAGTAGTTATTTCAAAGTTGATCATTTTCAAACTGGTTGGCCCTGATTCAAAATGATTGTCTTTTACTGATTTCATCTTTACTGTGGGACCTTTGATTTGTTTTCAAAAGAGTAACTGACCCCACCAAAGAAACTCAACGCCTGGTTTGCTTCACAGTCTCAACATTGTTTGTACTAAAAACATTATTAGTAGCTGTATATTTAGAAATGTGGAAATACACATAGCTTTATCACAGGATCAAATCATTTTTAAGGTTGTTTTTACCTTGGGTCAATATCTGGTTTTAAGAAACCTTACATAAACCTGTAGGCCTACCTGTTCTTACATGGTGCAAAATGTATGCGTTTCATAATCAACACTAAACAGATTGCACCGCTAAACCTGGTACAAGCAACACAAACATAGCCTACTGTACAACATATTGAGTGGTATATAGGTCTAAACCTCTGCTTATTGCAGTGAGGTCTCTGCAGCGAGGCACACAAGATGAGGTTTGTAAAGCATGATGATCTGGCAGTTGTTTGTTGCATTGTTAAGTGAACGTCCTATTTCAGCATGACTCATGAAAACACCTACAAGCAGCTGCATAGAAACGTTATGGCAGAGGTGTTTTTCTCTCATCGGGTACAAGGGTAAGCCAACTGAGCTAGTGGCCTTAACGTTACCTTTGCTTTATTATTAAAAAGGCAAGATATTAAAGTCAGCGTAATGTCGATCTATACCAGGGATGGGCAACATTGGTCACAGCAAGGGCCACATTCATTTAATTCTCACTGCCAGAGGGCCAAATTGTAGTATACAAAAACGATTACAGTCAATTTTTTCTCCAATTTAACTCACATATCAGTGAGCATAATATAATTATGGACATACTTCTGGTTTTCATGATTTCATGGCAGATTTAGTCATGTTTTCTTCATGTTTCCAATTAACTGACATGTTAAAATTGACCTGAGGGCCACGTTGAGGGTTGATGGGGGCCGCATGTGGCCCCCGGGCCGCCAGTTGCCCACCCCTGATCTACACAGAGCAAAGAGCAGAGTTATACCTGTTTAGCAGCCAGCTGATCAACATGTTGATGACTCAACTTATGACAACACCCAAAGTCGTTAGCACCTCACAAATAATGTACTTGGCTGCTCGACTTGGCTCAATATCAACAGTAGCATTGTTATTGTTCGCGTGTATAACTAGTTAATGTTTATAAATGATCTTAATGTGGAGCTGATCTCAAACTAAAGGCAGCCTAGTTTAGCTTTGCTGATAGCACTCAGATAAAACAACGATAAGGGGACGTATTTAACCAACACTTTGAGCAACTATACTAATCAAACAAATCTGTATTTGCTACTTAGACAGCTTGTTGTAATCAATTATTCAATCGATGCCTCTAAACAACAGCAGCAAAATTGTTATCTGGCAGAAAAATGAGCTAGCTGGCCTGAAAGCCACAGCCCCAGTCGGCCAAAACAATACGCTGGAAAACAACGCACTTTGACTCATATTTGACGAATTAACTATAAAACGTAACACATGTGCCGATTACTTACCCAGAAGCCTTTCAAATGTACCTCCACCTTTCCCCATTATGGATTGAAAGTCTCAAAGTAGGTTTCGATGTGTCTTCTTTAGTCCACGGGTCCTGATATTTTCACCGCTAAGGATAGCCTGTTAGCTTCTCTACTAGCCACGGAGCACAGCTGTACGGCTCTTCCTACTTCCCACTTCCCACTTCCGCCGTACAAGCAACAACAACACAGGGTTTTTTTCTCCCTCTAGCGTCCGAGAAACAAAAATACAAGCAAAGTCGACTGAACTGAGTATAAATGTTATATTATCAATACATTTAGGTGTAATGTTTTACTACATAAGTAGAAATGCTTGTCACCCCTCGTAAGGTAAGCTAACCGTACTCGGGTTTTTATTTTTTTGCCATTAGGCTTATTATTAAGGTATTTGACTTTGACCAGCTTTGGCACTTAAGACACATTTTACGTCCCTGAAAATGTCTCAAGTGGTTCAACCAATAGATGGTTTAAGCAAAGCTATAAGTTCCCAAACGTAGCAGCTCCTGTCCTGTCTGGTGTAAAGGTCCTACTGTACGGCTGCATCAGTACAGTCAGTGTATTCAAATGTTACCAGTGTGATAAAGGGCTACAGCTGGATCCTTTAACATACAACCATTTCAAGTATTCAGTTGTACTGTTAAACTCTGGCAACACGACAGTACAGAATTGAATACTTCTTCATCATTGGCTTTCCAACATTGGAAAAAGGCTAGGTTCATGTATTTTTGGAAAGTAGACAAGTTACATAGTTTATGTAAAACTAAACATGCATACATGACGTCATAAATGTCCTCTACTAAAATATTATATTAATCAGGTATTTTAATTTCATTTCAACCCCAAAATACTATTTCCATTTCCATAAGAGAATCTTAATCCCTCACAAACAAAATGACTTAAAAATATAATCTATATCTCCTCCCTATTTCTAGGAATGTCACAAACTGATGAATCGCTCTACACCTTTGACTCAGCTCTGCCTACGAATACTGTTGCTTGTAAAATTCGAAGCAACTGGTTGAAACCAGCCCAGTTGCCTTTTGATCAAGCTTCAAATTTACCCTGACTGAAAACCGACAGTACACAGACACATTGTTGCTTATATAAAGAGCCCCCTTTGTACAAGGTCTGTATCCAGGACTTTTAAAAGGATCCTATCTAGGTGAGCTGACAACAGAGTGACGATGTCTAAGACATCACTGAAGTGTTGTTGAATCCTGAGTGGTGTTGTGTTGTTGGGCCCTGTGGGTGGCACCTTATCATGAATGCTTTCTGAATTATTCATTAGTGCACTTCTAATATGTAGGATTTAAATTGTTAAATTGTGTGGTACAGATAAACCTATTTTTAGACACAACCCTCATTATTTAAAGTGTTAATACTTGTCTCACTTTATTTTTTCTCCATTACAATAGTACAGCACAGGCTGTCTTACTGTATTCCTAGCATTACACCACCAACATTGATACAGGCCTACTTAGGTCATGTATGAGTCACTACCTGGCACTTGGAACACTAGTAGCCATTGTTGCTTTGGTGCTGTTATGCTCTATATAGTGGCATTGTGTTGCTCTGTCCTTTGCTGTCACGGACAGAATGGGAGAAAAACTGGCAGAGCCCTGCATCCTTTTACAACTGTGACTATACAGTTAAAGTCAGTTTACAGCAGATGGAAGAAAACATAGGGTATCATTTCTATTCAGGAAATCTAGTTAGAGACATTTCGCTTCAACAAAATGAAATCAGAACCAATCTCATGGGCTTTTATTGTCTTTAATCCACTAAAATTGATTTCATTTCTCTGTGGATGATCATTTGATTTAAATTAAGAGAGCACAGACTCTGAAGGATTTGAACAATGTCTCATGAATAAAGATGATGCTTTTTCCCACTGTGGATTGTAACAACCCACATTACATGCATATTCACAGAGACACTGTCAGAGAGGCATACACACACATGATGCATCACAAACGCGCTCACTTTGCGAGCGTTGATAGGTTGTTTTTTTTTTAAAGTTAATAACATCTCATTAAGTATATGCAAGATAAGGGATGGGGTGAGAGTTTTCATTCTGATCATGACAAAAAGTTGCTGACAGATCACTTGTGCAAACATACTTTTTGTCAGTTGAAGGAACATCAGAATTGTTATGTTGTGAAAGAACGTTAACTTATTTTTCTTTGTTACTGGTATTGAATAACCAAGATGGGGATAAAGAGATGACAGAAAAGAAATGGAGGCCCTCTCTCTCTCACATACGTACACACACACGTGCATAGACAGCACACACACACACACACACACACACACACACACACACACACAATTCTCAACAATATGGCACCACAAGCAAATGTACACACATCCCCATTGTTCCATTGTTCTTCTCTGCTCAGCTGAACCCTCTAGTAGTATTTACATAAATGAGCAAAACAAAGATTTTTGAAAAACTACGAGGCCTATGGGGTCCACAATCTGTTTGTTTTTTAATTATCTGTTATAATAAAAATGTAAACACACAACGTTTCTCTCAGAGGAGGATTTTGAGGACATTTTATTGTAGTTTACAGTGACAGACAGAGAGAAAAAGGTTACTGATATCGGGTATGAAATAATGAAATGAGTTCAGTTTTCACCAAACAGCCTCCTGCAGCTTTTCAGAGAGAAAAACAAAATCATATTGGAATAACATTAAATATAAAATAATTACAGGAAGCAAAGTCGGTCGAAAGATATCTGGGGTGTATTTTGGGGACTTAAAGGCATTCGGACATTTTTGGAATTTAAACATAACCTTTGACCTGTGAGGCAGGTGCTCTGCGAGGACTACTTTCTCCACTGCTGAAGGTGGGAGAACCTGGCATGCCTGGGGGACTTGACCCAGCATAGAGCAGAGATCCCCCTATAAGGAGCAAGGCCGATGCCCCCCAGCCAATGTAAAGAGCAGGGCCGAGCTCACGCTTGTGTGGGGCTGCCACGTGTGGATCGTAGAAATCCCTGATGATGGAGTGGGCCGTCCAGCAGATGGGCACAAGGTAGAGGAACCCCGCTATGGCAAAAAGGGCGCCAGAGATTCGAGAAACACGGGCCTTTAGGCTGTTTACACCGATACACTTGGTGCATTTGACTCCTACGACCCCCATAGACAAAGCAAGGCCACACATCAGGATGGAGAGCACCGTGAGGCCTCGGGCAGCCTGCATGTCGCTGGGCAGAGCCAGCAAGCTGTCATACACCTTACACTGGATCTGACCTGTGCTCTGCACGATGCAAGTCATCCACAGGCCTTCCCATATGATCTGAGCTGTCACTATGTTGTTACCGATGAAGGCAGTGACTCGCCACAGGGGGATAAGACAGACTATCAGCCCGCTCACCCAGCCCACAATGGACATGATTAGGCCCAACAACTGCATACCTGTGGTTGCCATGGTGAAAGGTGTTGTTTAAATCAGATGTCAGAATTTGTCTTGGTTTTATTTCAGCCTTTCTTTCTTGCAGTGGGCCCACTTCTTGTCCCACAAAGAAATGCAACAGTCCAAAGTTCTGGAAATATTGTGCTCCACTGCTGGATCTTCAGTCTTTGGACGGTCGTTGAGCTCAACTTGGCAGGACAAGGGTAGGTATCCTGAAATATAGACACAACAGAAGGAGAGCAAATTAAGTTTTTTGTTTTGTTCATCACACTCATCTGGCTTTAAAATACACAGATACAAAAATAATTATAACTCATTACTACTCGCTACAATTTATAGTGCATGAATAAAGTATGAACGACTACTAAAGCATTCGTTTATCATAATTGTTTTGAGACAGGATAAGAGGCCCATGTTTCGTGGATTCCAGTCAGAACCGCAGAGAATAGCCGTCTTTGACACAGCTGTGGGTGTCTCGCTACGCCTTGCTGGGTGAGTGGATTATCTCAGAAAAACATGAGGAGACTGAACACAAGCATCTTTCATGAAGACTTGTAGAGTGGGCCAGGAGGACCTATATGTCATCTATGTATCCTGGCTCGCAGAATCATATTTCTAACAGTTATGTGGTTCAAACACAGCCAGAGTGACGAGAACAAACTGAAAAGGATCCAAATGAATCCAATAGATTTCCAACCAAGACTAGAGATCAGATATAAAGGAAGCATTTCATATTTAACGTGCCAGTGAGATCAGTTTGCTTCAAATTAAGAATCCATACCGATGATTCTGACATGCATGTTTGCAATGTAACAAATTATATTGAGTGAATTTGTAATTATAAATGATTTGTCTTTTGTCCCATAATTGTCAGATAAGGCTCAAGTGCCTCATGATTAGTGCCAATAATGATTCTGCCGTCAAAGTAAGTGATTGCAAACAAAGCAATAGAGATATTAAAATTGTGATGGAAACTATCTGTTGGATATTTATGGAATGATTCTAATGAAGAGTATAATTACCACAAATGACGTACTCTCACTGCTCCTCTTGGCCCACAGGTTGTTGTCACAGCTCCTCTGCTTCTGTAGATCTGCTGGGATACCTGGTGACTGTGGGTGACGGCCCTGAGAATTGACTGCAGTCCACAGGGGAGGAGGCTAGTATCTCAGAGGTCAGGTGAACTGAAGCCGAGAGATGTGTGGATCAGCTTCGACACCCAGGACTGGACTGAAGATGGGGCTGCCCTCTGAGATGCCAGCGCAAGTCTGAGCGGCAGTGGGCAGAAGCATGCGCTTGTGTGCACTGCGGCGTGAGTGTGTGAATAAGTGAATGTGTTTGAATGTGTCTCCCAGTGCCTGGTGTACGAGCACAATGCCCTGCTGTCTTACTGTGCCCTCTCTCGCTGCTCCTCGTCAACCTCTGTCCCAGCCCTTGCAGCACCCTCATATCCATCCAACCCGGGCAGCCATTTTCTTCTCTTTTTCGACTTTAACTCACTTGTTCATTTATGAGAGCTTTCCCCTTTCTTCTACCCTCGTCTTGCCTTTTCCATCTGTTTATGGCTTTTATTGAAGTTTTCAAGTAGGGAGCCAGTCCTTATGCAACCCCTTGTTTACTGTTCTGACAGAGAAAATGAGGGTCATTGTGTTTTCTGTTTGGATTTGTAACTATATAAACATTTTGCATACTATATTTTGTACTGATGAGATAACTTAAAGCACCAAAATGTCAACCACTCTGCAGATTTAGAAATCATACATTATGTATGGTGCTTAGATGCTGCAGAAACTTGAACAGATTATTAGGGGCGCAGTGTTTTTGGTGCCATGCAGGCGACCAGGACTGAAGAAAGGATGAAGCCTGTCAGTGAATGTATCTGTAAAGGTGTGAATATGGACTCCAGAGTCTACGCAAAAGAAAGACACACGGCCCTCGTTGTAGTCCAGAAACACACCCACAGTCTTGGGTCTCTGCCCTAGAGCCAGCGGGGTGACAGGAGAGGTGTTGGCGATGTACTGGCCTCCAGGCTTCAGGCTTAAAGTCCAGAAACCATTTGCAGGGCAGACAGTGAACTTGCCTTTCCTGTTTATGGACTGTCTGACCACACCCAGGTTCCACTCGATCTTCTCCCCAACCTCCACCTCCCAGTAGCACCTCCCACTGCTGAAGCTTTCTTTGGCCAGCACGTTTGCAACACGGTCAAAGCGCTTTGGGTGATCTGAAACCTCCTGAAGCTTGTCTGTTAGTCTCACCTGTTTTCTGCCATCCGAGACAGAGAGGGAGGGGTGGGCTGTCTTTGCACTCAGATTGACATCCACTGAGAAAAGGGAGGGGGAAAGTTTCAAAAATAGGTCAAACAGCTTGGATAACTGTACAACTACAAGATTGCAAGAAAAATACTGGAGTAGTGAGCGGGGGTTAAAATTTATATTTCAGCTCTTCATGCAAGAGCCTACTCAACAGTATCCGCACCTTTGCACAGTCAAAAGCATTGTATTGTACAAAACAGTCTTTTAGTGGTTTTTTTTTTCTCCTCTGTGTATGTTTTTAGATCTAATTACCCATATTTACATTAACACAACACCAAATGTATGTAGAAACCCTGACAGGAACGATGGGACACAAATCAATATGTTTGGATGGATGGGTCATATAAACTAGGAACATTAATGCAGGACCAGACTCTATGTCTTTGTCTGACTAAAGATTCATGTCTAGAGTTGTTTCAGTTTTAGTTATGTCACTATGAATGTAACCCTACTTCATTTCTGCTTTTTTATTTCCTTAAAATACAATACTTTGTATCTGAAACCACAACTTATTTCAAAACCCAACCTAGTGATTTTGGTGCCTAAAACCAAACCACAAAACTAACATTTCAGAATGTTAACCACTTGTTTATTATTGTTTCAATGACAAAATAGGTTGTGTAAAACTACGCCTGTTGCTGTTAATGAAAAAGTGAATATTGATAGATTGAATGGTAGTAATGAAAATAAAATTATGATGGAATTTCTTTCAAGTCAGAATTCAGCTCTAATAACAAACCTCTGAGTGCGATCAGACACATTACAAACCCTCCCCCATGACCTCCCCTCCATTTCTAATTAATTTCTGTACAGTCCCTTGTTTGTTTCTGTGTAGACAAAGACATACCTGTGTATTTCTCTATTCTCTTGAGTTCTGTCAAAGACAACCAAAACCGGAAAAAGATTCACAGTTAATACAATTATTTCTATAAATCATATATAAAGAAAAAAAAAAGCATTTCTTACCAGATTTGGAGAGCCTGTTCACCTCTAACTTGATCAATTCCTTCACCTCTGACAAAGCCCGTCTAGTGACCCCAAGACAAGGGTCAGTTTCTATGGTAACCTTGGACCAGTCCTTCATCTCAGAGGGGCAAATGTTGGAAATGATGCTCTACAGGATAAAAAGAAATTTCATTAATCTCAGGGCTTTATTTTCATTGTGATTGTATCTGCAGAAGGAAAAGGTGCTCACCACAGTAACTTGCTTTATATCTTCACTTTGGTCACTGTTTTCAGTAATCTGAGGGTCAGATTCAGGGCTCTCCTTCCTCAGCTCCTGGATCTCCTGTTTCAGCTCCTCCACCAGTGTCTCTACTCTCCTCTCCTCCTCGTCTGCTTCTCCTCTATGGCTGTGACGAGGGCTTTGTGACTCTTCTCCATCACATTTACGAGAACGGAGAAGACCCTCTGGCTCTCTCGCACCTCTCTGAGGTAAGAGTTCTGATTGGACATTATACAGCATCAACATTAAAGGACTTACATACATTTTAAAAAAAGGTAATATTTCAATGCTTTACAGGTTTACAACGCACCTTTTGGAGCTGGAGGGAATATTTTAACCGCTCTATCTTCTGCAGCCTTTCTTGAATCATTTGCTCAATGTCTAAAACCTGCATCAATGATGTAAGTACACACAAACATGCAAGATTAATCAATTATCAGATCATGTCTCATGTAAAATAACTGACAGATGCATTAAAGTACCGTTTCCTCTTTAGGTGGTTCCTCTGGTCGAGTCTTTCTGTAGTTGTCTGAGAGGTCTGCCAGAATGCGGTTAACACTGAGGTCAGGCCTGTCAGCAAACACTCTTTTACAGAGGGGGCAGTATCGGGATTGGTGTCGTGACCAGTAATTGCTGAGACAGGACAGACAGAAGCTGTGTCCACAGGGTGTGGTTACAGGGCCACTGAAGATGTCTTTACACAGAGGGCACAAGAAGTGCTTCTCAGGGAGGAGGCCAATCGTAGAGGCCATACTCTGTAAAACATGATGTCAACAAAGTGTGTAAATGTTTCTTTTTTATTCAAAGACCTCTATGTCAAAGCTCACACTTTGAATTATATACACAAAAAACCGAATCATGACTCAAATGCCCAAAGAAATCAACTGAAACAGAGAAGGATAGTTTCATTTCTTAAAATCCTATTTTAATAGAAATCACTATAGTAGATTTGTCAAAGTACCAATATTAATATCTAATATGTAATGAGATAGATAAGATAAGATGTTCTTTATTGTCCCCAAAGGTGAATGTGTCTTGGACTCTGTCCTGCAGTTCAATGAGAATTAAAAAGTACATAAATGGAGATCATACAAAACATCCAACAATTCCACTTACATAAACCTTCCTGCAGCAGTGACATATTGACATATTGCACGGCCCCTTGGCACAGCCTACATAACCTGCTAGTCAGAACATTAATGAGAATTAGCACAAATGAATGTTTATGGGGGTTCAGCCAGGTCTGCGGCACCCTGAATGTTCCCCCAGAGGGTAAGAAGTGAAACTCAGAGTGAAGAATGTGGGTCGGGTCTGACTCTTTATTCATGTCTGTCTAACAACAGAACAACAGACTTAAGGAATTTGGGCAAAATGAACTAATTATAATCTAAATCCAGACAGAGTGGTTTTTCAGCAAACTAGCTGTAGCCTTTTCTCATCAAAGAGAGGGGCAAGTCTTTATAGTTTTGAAGTTTCTGGGGTTGGATCCCTCTGAGTCAAAAGAACTATTTCTGAGTAGTCAGGATGATTTATAGAGCAGAAAAGGAGAACAACAGGGACACAATTCTGGTGTGCTGGCAGAGAGAAGAAATGTCCCTATTGTGGAACTTAAAGGTAAACTCCTCCACACAGTCTAACTTGCAAACAAACATTTCATTGGCAACTTTAAGGTACTAAACCTCATCAGGCAAACATGCAGTCACTGTTTGCACGTTAAACAGTGTGCAGGAGTTTACCTTCAAGTTTTTGTTGGACACATTGCTCTCCTACGCACATGTTTTATAGAATGGATGTGCAAAGCTATTATGAAGCTGCCATCAGCGTCGGACAAGTGAAAAGGTGTCCTTACTCTATATTGCTTTGTTACAACAAGAGGACACAAGTCAAAAACAAGATGTCACCTTTATTACCCTATCAAAATCTAATTCCTATAGTAAAGTAAGTATGAGAACAAAGATTGTAAACAAAAGTGCCATAATTCATCCTTAACTTAAGTAGTGTAAAAAGCAATCACCATCAATACTAAAAGTTTGTGTTTTGTCTACTTTTCAGAATTGTGGAGGAGAAAATGAATTGTGATTCTTTTTCATTAAATGTATCACATTATCATTTTTTAAACTAAAAGTACTTGGACTTGCCACCTTAGAAGCAAATACTTTCAGCTGAGCTATACAGCACTTTGACTCTCGGGGACATCATGTGCTTGAGCAGAAATGCATTCCTCTCGTATGATGCAATAACACACAAAGAACCGGATCTGTCATTCTCTTTTTTTAATCTATAGAAATAACAGCTGTTTGAGTGGTGAAAGATCCCCACAGTAATGCCCTTTGTTTGATGTCTTTCTCCGTGTGGTTTCTTACTGTCTTTGTTACAGACATTTTAAAGTTTAAATTTCTTTGTGATCAGGACCCATTAGCAAACACAACGGAAGCAGCTGAGTGAAAGATATGTCAAGTATGCAGTCAAACAGGTAGCAACCAAATACTTAGCTCCATCATTAGGCAACAGCAACTTCTCAAATCAATGGTTGGTTTTTCAGGTTATGTTGAGTTTAGTGCTGTTTTCTTAGTACTCTGACATTCATGTAAGAAACACTTGGATTATGTAACATGTTCATAAATGATTAACAGGTGTGATTTCTGTCTGTGTAGTCAGAAGGGAGAAAGCCATTTCAAAGTAAAAGCAGATAAAAAAAATTCAGGTGTGTTCTTCTTACCTCTCCCAGTTGACAAAAGTCGGCCTTTTCAACAGCTGATCTTGTCTAAAAAAAACAGTCTGTGATGCTTCTGCTCAGAGCTTCAGGTGATAAATACATAGATACTACAAATGGTGTGTGCTCAGCAGGTGCAGCAAGGTGTGTGTGTTTTGTCTGTGGGTAGTGCTTTTGACAATGGCACTCTCAGCTGAGACTCCACCCTGCATGTTATCTGAACTCCACTCAAACAAACC